ATGTAATGGAGTGTACGGACCATTTAATTGCATCCTTTATGATCATGCGCACGTAAAGCCCCTTGTGCAAAAGAGACTCAGACCAGATGAAAAGTGTTATTCACCAGCACCGGCACATGGAGTCTGGCATGTGATGGCCTTGATGGGATTGTCGAGTGCTGTGACCTGCCTGAGAAGCACGTGGGTGACTGGAACATGCGTTGAAAACATGGGCACTTACCTGCTGCTGCTGCTGCTTCTGCTTGCATGGGTCTCAGAGGCCAGCTGTCTACTGTGTGCTGTCGGGGCCAAGGGGCAACCCCTGCAGCAGATGCAGACCATGACCCCCACCACGTGGAGGAGCCAGAGGTCTGCGGGTGCTTGGAGTGGAGGGAGCATCCCAGCGGCCGTGCCAGCCTGCAGAACCCAGCCTGGGGTGCTCAGCCGCCAGCGCATGTCGCTCGAGTCGAGGGGTCTGAGGGCCACTTAGCTTCATCACGGCGTTTGGTAGTGTCCTTGTGAGAGCAAGGCTGGCACAGATGCGACAGTGCAAAGACAAGGCGATGGGGTCTCACTCACCTGAGTGCCTGTGGCAATGATCTGAGTACTTGCGGACTCAGATGCTTTTCCATGTGCTGCTGAAGCGCCCTCAGTGACCAGCCACCATTTGCAGCTCTTGCATGGCTGGAGGGGCCAACAGCCCACTGCGACCTGCATTAGAAATAAAGTATCTTGGGAAAAAAGTCATCCTCCATCCTGAGGAGGTCATGCCTTCTCCATCCTTTGGTCGTCCCAAGCCCAGGCTCCTCCACTCATGTGAGCCAAGCCGAGTCCTCCCGGAGAGGCAGCTCCGTGCCGTTGGTGACGCTGCTGACTTCATGTGGGGGTGAGGTAGTGTTTTCCTGTCGTAATTTTTCTTTACTGTTTAAAAACCTTATTTCTGTTATTTCCATTCTTTTTTCAAAACTTTTTTTCTAGTATCTTAAGTTGAAAGTTTACTTCATTTATTTTTGGCCTTGTTTTCTAGACAGAAATTTGTTTTAAATGCATTGATTAGAAAACAAGGGGAAAAAAGTAAACAAAGCCAATCTCTGTCTTAATGCTCTGCTGAAAACATCTGACAAGTTAGGATGCAGTGCTTCCACTGTCTCAGTTCTACATACCTTGGAATCTTGATTTGTTTGCATCTTCAATGTAGGAATTATCTGGAAGTAGGTTTTTAATTTTCCATATATATAGGGGTTTCTTTCTGGGTTTTTTTTTTTTTTTTTTTTTTTTTCTGGTAGCTGGCCAGTACAGGGATCCGAACCCTTGACTTTGTCTGTCTTTTTAAAAACAGCTTTTTGTGCATTTCTCACATTGTGATCAATGAAGATGTTCTATATGAAAAAGCAGTTTTTAAAGGTTTGTTGAAAAAATTTAAAAAATAAAAGTTTGTTGAAACTTCCATTATGACCTCTTATGTGGTCAGTTTAAAAAGTTCCATGATTATTTGCAAAGAATGTACATTTTTTGTTTGGAGAATTCTATATGTGCGTATTAGGTTGAAATTATTACTTGTGATTCAAACCTTCCCTGTCCTTCTCTTTTGCTGTCAGACCCTTTGTTTCTGAGAGACCAGTGTGGACATCTGCCACTATGATTAGACTTGTCAAATGTAGAGTTCTCTCAGTGTTCCTCTATTTCAGAGCTTTGTTAGGTACATACAAATTTCTGCCTGTTCTGACTTCTTCATGAGTGGTTTATTTTGTCAATTTAATGTAAATGTCTTGTAATTTTGATTTGTTTGCCTCTTCAACATAGGAATTCTCTGGAAGTAGATTTTCAGTTTTCCATACATGTAGGAGTTTCTTTCTCTCTCTCTCTCTCTTTTTTTTTTTTTTTTTTTTTTTTTTGTGGCCGGCCAGTATAGGGATCCAAACCCCCTCTTTATTTCTTTTAATCCTTTGCCTTTAATTCTCTCCTACCTAATACAGTCTACACCACCTTCTTCTTCTTAATAACTTGCTGTTATATTTCCCTGACATATAATTAAAACCATCTCTCTCTTGCTAAGAAATATGGTTTTTATTATTGGTATTATTCTCATATTTACAAATCTAATGTGAATATTTTTTCCAATGTCATCTCAAGATGTTTTGATAAGTTGTAAAAGTTCCTTAAAACTCAACTATTTCATATGTGTTTTGTTGAAAATAGGTGCTAATTGAGAGTATAATGACGATTAATAGCTACCTTTGGCCTCAGCTCAGCCGAGGAGGACTGAAGAGATCTGCTTGTCTTGATCTTTCACAGTTGCCCCCAACTTCCAGTAAACTGGTTCCAGGGACCCTGCAGGAGTCCAGATAGAATGACCACTTAACCCCAGTTCTGCCCAACTATTCAAAATAGAGACTGATGCCTTGGACTAGCCTCACTGTGTGTGAAAAGAACTTAGTATTGTCTTATGCCTGAAAAATTGTTATTGTTTTCTGTCTTTCAGTTAGTTATTCTAAAAGGTAAATTCTACCTTGCCAAATATTTTAGGTTTATGCTTCAGATATTGGGATATAGAAAATTATCAAAATGTGGTTCATCTTAAATTACATCCTAAAAGCTTTTAATGTTTGGGAAGAATATTAGAGTATATTTCTATGCAGATATAGCTTCTGAGTGCAGGCAGTAGTTGGAAATGGCAAGTTGCTGTGGTTGGAATGTCGCTGAAAATGTGGATAGGTGGAGTGTTAACAGCCACTCCAAGTGATTTGGAGGTTAAATCAATGGCAGCAGAGCACCATACTTCTCCCCCAGACTTGTATTAAATATAAACTTATTACAACTCAGCATCAAAAAGGCAATACCCTTAAAAAATGGGCAAAGGACTTGAATAGACATTTCTCCAAAGAAGATGTACACGTGGCCAACAGTCATGTGGGAAGATGCCTACTGTCGTTAGCCATCAAGGAAAGGCACATCAGAACCTCAACTGGGACACCATTTCACACCCATTATGATGGCTACTATTAAAAAACAACAAAAAACCAGCACAGAATAACAAGCATTGACAGGATGTGGAGAAATCGGAGCCCTTGGGCACCGCTGGCGGGAGCGAAGCTGACGGCTGCTGTGGAGAACAGCATGGAAGTCCCTCAGGGAGTTACACATAGGGTTACCATGCAATCTAGCAACTCTGCTTGTGGGTATTAACCCCCAAAACTGAAAACAGGGACTCAGACTGACCCTTGTATGTGCATGTTCACAGCAGCATTACTCACAGTGGTCCAAAGTGGAAACAACCCAAGTGTGCGTGGACAGATGGGTGGATAAATACAATATGGTGTAGACACACAAGGGAATATGGCTCACATATGCTACAACATGGATGACCCTGGAGGACATTATGCTGAGTGACATAAGCCAGGCACCAAAAAACACTGCATGATTCCACTATGTGACATGCCTAGAGTTGTTGAATTTGGAGACAGCTGAATGGTGGTTGCCGGGGGCTGGGGAGAGGGGCGTGGGAGTTACTGTTTAAAGGGGATGGTTGACTGTTTAAAGTTTCTGTTTGCGATGATGGAAAAGATTTGGAAAAAGATAGTGGTGATGGTTGGACAACATTGTGAATGTACTTAATGCTACTGAATTGTATACTTACAAGTGGTTAAAATGGCAAATGTTGTTATATATATTTTACCACGATAAAAAAATACATAAACCTAGATTTAATTGTGTACAATGTTATGCTTTAAAAAACAAAATGACGTCTTCCCCGCTGGCGTAGTGGTGAGAAATCAGCTGAAAAACAAAATGATGTTGATGGCACCAAGCACCAAGGTCCAGGGTTTGGTTCCTGTGCCAGCCAGCCACCAAAAACAGAAGCCAAAACCTCAGGGAAGTTTCCAAACATGCACAAAAATGGAGAGAATAGAATAAGGAACCCCTGAGTCCCTGTAACTCTTTTTCAGGTATAATTTTGTTTCATCCAAACTCCCCATCCTCCTGCCCTCAGTGAATTATTTGAAAGCAGCTCCAGACATCTCATTTCATTCATAAATATATCTCCAAAAAGAAAGGGGTTGTTTAAAAGCATAACTACAGTATCGTTATCATCCCTGAATGCAGTCATTCCTGAATACCCATTTCTGTTCAGATTTCTCCCATTGGCTCATGGATGCCTTTCTCCAGTTGGCTTGTTTGAATCAGGATCCACACATTGTGTTTGGTTGATACTCTTAAATATCTTTTAATCTGTAATAGTTTCTCCTTCCTTTTTACCTTTATTATTGAAGGAACTGAGTACCTTGTCCTGCAGAATTTTTCACATTCTGTGTTTTGCAATATCCATGGTGGGGTTTAACATCTTTTATATTTCCTGTCAATGGGCGACCTCGAGTCTTGATGAGATTTGGGCATGTGACGTCCTCTCATTTTGTGTCACTCTTTTGTGAGGTTGAGACTGACCCTTGTGCTCAGATTGGTCGGCCTGACCCAGCCATTATTGAGGCCCTTTAAAAAATCGGGAGAGGTGGAGTGGCGGGAGCATGGACCGCAGCGGGCAGGGCACTGCAGGCAGCAGCTCTCAGTATTACTGCCATCAACAGTCTCGGTGACACAACAGCACCTACCCATGCCTGGCCACAGCATGCTCGCAGAGTGCAGGAGCCAGGAGGGAGGGGGGGAACTGCTGACGGGTATGGACGCCACTGACACGCACACTAAAAAATGGCTAACATGGTAACTTTCGTGTCATCAACTTTAAAAATGGCTGCTTTTACAAAGCGGTGAAACATTTTGAGAATTTATTGGAAAAAACAAATAAAAATACATATACAGTGAAACTACAATTTGAGAAAAATGGTCGGGTCCCTGTTTTAATGACACAACCCCCCTACAAGGTGTGACGTGTGTGAATGGCACGTTAAAACTGTGTGTCTTGAAGTAGTAGTTTACATAATTTTCCGTGTCAGCCTTTTATGCTTTTGAAGATAGCAGTTTTCATGTCTGAATTCAGTACATTAATGATCACTTCTTGACTTTAGGAATTTGAAAGTGTATTTTGCGGTAAAACTGGCAGAAGGCTAAAGCTGACCAGACCAGACTCCTTGGTGACCTGTCCTGCACAGGGCAGTCTACAGAGTAGCCCCACGATGGAGATCAAGTGATCGGACTGAACAGGAATCCTTAGGGAGTAAAGGGCCATTCCTTCGTGATCCATAAATGTTTTCTATGATCCTGGAACTCCACTCTGTTAGTCTAACTCGGAAGGGACGTGACTCAAGCTGATGGGACTCCAGTAGGAACTTTGAGAGCTCATTTTGTAAAAATATCTATCTAGAACAAAATACTTATCCATTAATGTCCTCTTAGACCATTTGGGGATGAAGACATCTTGATAATTAGTAAGTAATTTTTCAATTATCTGTCTGATTCCATCATGTTTTCTTAACATGATAACTTAAAAAATTAACATCCTTTGTAATATCTCTAGTCTTGAAGGGTACATTGCTTTTTCTTCATTTACATTTTAAATATGCCCCTTTAGCAATTGGAACAAGTTAAATTGTCCTTAACTAGACGTAGTTTGGAATTTTATTTCATGTTACATCACTCCCCTGTAATGATTTCCTGTCGTATGGTACTGGGTTGCAAGATGCAGTACTATTTTAAACCTTTTTGCTAAAAATTTTCCAGACTTCTTTTAAAGCTACTTTTATCCACACATGAAATATTGTCTCAGTGGATTGCTTAAATGCCCACGTTTTCGTATTGAGAGTCATTACTTAATATGTAATAAACCGTAGTGTTTGGAACTGAGTTTTTCAAATGAGTGGCTTTATTTATTACAACAGATAATACCGATAGACTTTAGTGCAATACAAAGTCACCTTCAATAAATACTGTTAATTGCGGATGTAATTTTGTACACAAAAAGTAGGTAAATCAAAGTAGACTTTTGTACAGAAGGGATACCGTACGTTAAGTTCTTTATTTTTTGTTATACTGTAGCCAGTTATTAACCTGAAGGTTTAATATATCATTTTATTGGGATTATGTCATAGTCCTAACGCAAATGCTATGTAAACAAGTTGCTGAATATTCTTTATCTCATGGAATTGTACAAAACTTTTTATATGTACATCCTATATCCGTCTTGAATGTTGGGTTTACAATTGTATCAGGGCCTGTGTTTGAGGTATGCTAGCACAGATGAATGGACCATTGTCAATAGGCGTGGACACAGAACACTCTGACAACAGCGTGGTCAGGATGCTCTCAGGGCCAGCATCCAGTCAGAAGCCGTGCCTGGACGTAGCTAGCCCGTCGCACCGTCCGCTTCTTGCTATGTGAACGCTGCTGATCCGGTGCCTTTCAGAACTCGGAGCTTCAGTCGTGGCTGGTGCTGTCTTGCTTCCTTAGGTTCTGTTTTAGGAGCTCCTGGGACCTGACTTTTCCCCGCCCCCTCCTAACACAGCTCCTTGGCAGGCTGAGGTGTCACAGATCCCCGGAATCCCCTGAGCACCCACAGCACCAGGAAGGCCAGGATCACCGGGAAGCCCAGGCTCACCGTGGGCGCCATCGCGGCCATCCTTGCTGATGCCAGGCACGCCTTGCGGCCCTTGAGACAGATCAGGAAGGTGAGTTTAGATACAGTAAGAATGGAAAATCAGTTGCACTTACATCCATTTAGCCTGCTGCCCAACTCTTTTCACTAGCTTATTCCAGAGCTCAGGAAGAGGCGGAGAGGCCCAGGCTGAGAGAACAGCGTGGGCACAGGCACGAGGGCCAGGGAAGGTGTGGCAGGCGCAACGAGCATTCCTCAGGGGCAGCAGCATGCTCTGACTTCAGAAGGGCTTGTTGAGTGCCGTGGAAGAACAGATTTGGGGGTGAGCAAGCAAGGAAGCAGGCTGCCCTGGGTGAGGGGCAGTGGGGTAGCTTTAGGGAATGGACTGGCTGTGAGCAAGGGGGGAGCCAGCCGCCATGCACTGAGGCTGGGTGACAGAGTCCAGGCGGTGTTGTCATGGTCCAGCTGGAGGCTTTGTCCAGCAGGAATGACAACACTGACATGTTTAAGGCCACACAGGTGGGAAGATGCAGCAGGGGTCAAGGTGCCTGAGCATTTGCCTGTCGGGTGGAGGCAGAGCTAGGTCAGCAGAGGAGAACCCGGGGGTGTGGGGGCATGGGGGGGAGCTGGAGACGAGCCGTGGCCATCCACACATGTTTGTTTTGTCAAAAGCAGGAGGCCCTAGACCAGAGGACGTGTGTGCACAGATGAGGGTGACCCCGAACAGAATCTTCAAGGAGGCCCAGGGATTGGAACACGGCCCGGGGGCCGGTCTTTGCTTGGGACAGTGGTGCTCCCTCCCTCCTTGACGAAGCATTTATTTTTGACATTAAAAAAAGAAATATTCAATGTACATGGGGTCAATTCAGAGAAAATTCCATTAGAATTTAACTGAAATAGATACTAAATAGCTTTAGTTAAATAGAACTTAACCAGACCTACGTAGCTGGTACAGGAGAGTCTAGTTATTGGTTAAACTTTTACATACTAAAGCCGTTATTAAGAAAATTCCTAATCTTGCCTCTAAGAATGCTTTGCCAAGAGAAAAAGGTATTTCCTTTATAAGAAAATGAGACATGTCATAACCCAACACTCCCCAGTAGAAAATCCTAACATGTTGGAAAAGATGCCAAACAAGAAAACCTTGCCGACGGCAATGGCCTCATACCTTGCAGGCCCTGGTCCCCGCCTGGTCCAGCCAGCCCCGGGCCCACTGAGCCCTTGTCTCCTCTGTCGCCCTGGTTTCCTGTCAGGAGGTGTTGGATATGGACATGTCGTTAAAGTGTCTGCTGCAACCACACCGGGACCACGTCTGATCCCACCTTTCTAACAGATAGGGTGCCTGCTTTTCCAAGCTTTTTACTGAAGTGGACCATTGAGAAAAGCACAGACATCCACATGCTGGGCTTGGTGGAGTCTGGGAGAAGAGCCCACGTGCACCGGTAGCCGGTGGCGTCAACACCATCTGCCCAACCGCTGGCAGACACGTGGGTGGTATTCCAGCTTCATTCAGAATATCTCTCCCTGTTAAACAGCTGAGTACTTACTTTGTAATCATATTTTCAATATGGTTTTTGACCCATGAGTTATCTAAGGATGTTTTAAATGTCTCTCTAATTGTTACTCAAATCCTACATCTCTTTGTTTTAGTCTGTGTGGGCCACAGTTAGAGAGGTGTGCTAATATCTCCTGGTATTGATAGCAGATTTGTCCACATTGGCTTTGCGTGTTCTGAAGTTATGATATTAGAGGCATACTAGTTACTCTAGAATTATGTTCCTGGTAAATTGAGCCTTTGATTAAAACACTGACACCCTGTAAAGGCAAAGAGCATTATTAGAGCTGGTCTGTTTTGCCTGATGTTAATTAATATCAGCAACACCAACTTTGTTTTGGTTGGTGTTTGTCAGTGTATCTTTTTCAATCCTGCTACCTTCCAAAACTGATCAGCAGCGCAGGCTTGATTAGCAGTACCAAGGTCATGAGGCGATTGCTGCTCGCTCACACATTACACGTGGACCCCTGGCAGGGAACAGCACCTGTGGCCTTGGAGTTGCAAGTGGCCTCCCCAGCGGGGCAGTGGACTTCCATGGCCTCTGTTGCCCAGGGATTGACTTGACTTGCCCCAGTGCAGTGGATCTGACCTGCCGTGTCCTGGGGGGAGTGGGGTGCTCCTGCCCTGCACTGCTTTTCCAGGGAGGGGAGATGGAGGCACAGCCGTGACAGTAGCTCTGCTTGAGAGAGGACCTGCGGTAGGCCCTGCCGTGTCTGTACTGTCTCATTTAATTCCCACAGTAACCTCTGGCGTCCTGATTCCGCTTCGCTGATTAAGAGACTGAGGCACCAAGGGCCCCGTCCAGGGAGTGACTCCCTCTGCACGACGTGCCCATCTACAGGCAGGACATTGGAAAGCTCCACAGCCCTGAAGAATGCATGGTGACTCCTTTGTGTGGCCTTTACTTTAACTTTTTCATACTGTTTTTCTGAGAACCAGTAAGGTGATCAATGCTCTTTTTGAATTTTATTTTCAAAGATTCCTATTTGAAGAAAATCTCATGTGACCTGTTTTGAAGACTGTGATCCCTCAGTGGCATTCCACTAGCATAGATAGCCCAAGAAGACCACAACTTGAAGAAGTTTGCAAGAAAACCCGAGGCTATTTGGTGGCTAATCTGGGACAGATGTTGCATGTGGACAAGATGGATTTGACACAGTTGCCCTCTCATGCTGAAATTCTTCAATCTCTAAGCATCTTAAGAATACATGGAACGATATAGTTATGGAATGCTTTCACCTGCTAAAGCATATAAATTTAATCTCAGAGACAATAAAAGGAACTCACAGAAATTGTTTCCCTTAGAAACTTTTTTCTTAAGCTATTTTTGGGAAGCAGGAGATTATTTGGTCAGTAACTTGGAATCACCTGGAATGATGAGCGTTAACGTCTTTGTTTGGGCCATAGGGCAGGCCGGGAGGACGCAGGTGGACTATGGTGGCAAACTTAAAAGTTTAAAATAAGCTCATTTTTTTTTTCTGGCATTTGGTCAGTGTAGAGATCCAAAGCCTTGACGTTGGTGTTAGCACCACATTCTACCAACTGAACCAACTAGCCAGCCCAAAATAAATAAGTTTTGAAGGCCATTTTGGAAAAGATCCGTGTCCACCAGCTCACACATGAGATTGTGTCATGCAGGTTACCCCGGGCACCTGGGACATCCCTGGCAGGTCAGCACATCCTCCTGCACCTGAGGACTCGCTGCCCGTGGTAGCAACAAACCACAGCTAATGTTGGTGCCTCTCACTAGTCCTTGAAATAGAAAGCATCTTGGATGTTATATTTTTGCCTTTTGCCACAGGAGTTTTCATACACTGCCAGTTCTCACCGAGGCATGTGGTATTGAGTGTAAATGGGACTCCTGTTTATCCGTTCCTCATGTTTTTAAACACTCCCCACTGAATGCTGTTCTGACGGTATTTCAGAAAAATACCACATTTTAAAAAATGTCCTAGTTCTTGTGGGATTAATAAGGAATTAACCGTGCTAGGCCCCAAAGCATGAAGGGTCCCAGCCTTTCAGGAGTCCCCACTGAGGACACCTAACGTACACCAGGAGCAGTATCTAGTAAAAGCTCCATCTCTTACTGCATTTCCAGACAAACGTATGGACATTAAGACCAAGGAAGGGGAGGAACAGTGGGGTCACTGAGGCATCTTGGGTTTGCATGTGAGACACGGATCTGCATGATCATGAGGCTGGTCAGGGCTGGAAAACCCATGAGCTCATGTTCAGGCGACTTTGAATGCTAACTTTCCCTTGTGTTCCCTCTCCTCCCTTGTCCTTCCAGAGGATAGCATCTCTGCAGGGAGGGGCGGGTTTGCGTAGTGTCCTGACATGGGGACGGTCTGGGGGTGTCGTGTGGCTGAGGGAGACCTGCCACAGAAGGGTGGCCGTGTCCTGGGGTCAGCTACTCACCTCTAGGTCCAGGGTCTCCCAGCTCCCCAGTGGGACCACGATATCCAGGGGGCCCTCGAGCACCAGGGTGACCAATGGAGCCTGGGGGGCCTGGGGGCCCTGGGGGGCCTGCTGGACCCGGCCGACCGATGGCTCCCGGCGCCAAAGGCTTCCTCAGGTGCGCGGCTAATC